GCAAGTGCAACAACGTATAAATTATTAAACCATCTACTAGAATTAAGAGCTTAAGTAACTTATTAACCGCATATCAGAGAAGGACCTGGGCAATCTCATCATCTCTTGCAAGATAAGACATAACAAACCAACCAAGTAAAGCCATAACAAATGTATTAAAATAAGATGTAACAAACGCATTGAAAGAAGCCATAATAAACACATTGAAGAAAGTTGAAACGAACAAACCAAGTAAAGCCACAACGAATGTATTGGGAAAAGTTATAATGAACATATTAAGTGAAGCCACAATGAACGTATTAAGAAGAGTCGTAGTAAATGCATCAAGAAAAGCCGTAATCAATGTAACCACAGAAGATATTAGGAAAATTGTCAAGAAAATAAAGTTTAGAATCAGTAACCTTGAAAGTGCAAAATCAGAAATAAAAACGAGACTTACTAACCTGCTAATAACTGTGAGCCTTAAAATCTGAACCAGCAATACCGTAGTACACAAACTCATAAGGAGAAAATATCGGTGCAAAGGAAACAAAAGACATTAGTAAAGGCAAAGTGAAGTAACTACTAAAATGGGAAGTTTGGATACAACTATACCTGTATACTATAGAGTAGTAATTGACGACATTGAAGACTTTCTTTTCGACTATGAAGAATATGCGAAGGCCAAGAAATATGATGAAAAAACAACCTGTTTTAGGATGTATATGCATATGCCAAAATGTATAAGAATGTGGGTGCGTAAATTAGTAAAAACTGAAAAGACGTAGAAAGATCTGAAACAAAAAATTATTGAAAAGGTGAAAAGAGAAAATGAGTCAGAAATGAAGATCACATGGTTAAAATGTCTCAAACAAGACAAAAAAGAGTCAGTAAAAGAGTATACTAACCGATACAAAGCTCTTGCTAAAACTGTAAAGAACCAATTGAGAATTGATGAAAAACGTGACTGATATATTGGAGGATTGAATGAACCTTATCATTCAAAGGTGGAAAGTTGTTGTCCTAAGAATTATGACAAGGTTAAAAAGAAAGCAGTAGAGATAGAAGAATACAACAGGGATAAAGCTATAACAAGCAGAATGATACAACTTCACCTGATGCTACATCTAACGTCAATAAGAGCGATGTCGACATTGACAGTCTTGTGACCGAATTAGCCGCCTTGAAAATAAACCATGTGGATCAGGAAGACCAATCTAAGCGTGATCAAGTTGAGAATCTCATTCAGAACATTGTGACTAAGACAATTAAAGACATGAATAAGAGACCAAGTCAACCACGTACCACCAAGCCCCAAACATGTTACCTGTGCCAAGAAGTAGGACATATTGTGAAAAAGTGTCCAAAACAGAATAAGGGTGCTAAGCAGTCCAAAAATGCCCTCAAATTTGATAATGTTGATGTAAGAATAGTTGAATTCATGAAAATAAGGCCAGAAATCACCAGTAAATATTTAAAAGTAGAATTATTGGATGATGGTGTAGGATATGATGTAAGACCAGTTAGCAAAAGAAAAAGAGAAGACACCACGATTGAATTGATAGAATATTCGAATAAAAAAGGAAAAATGAATGAGTATATCACTGAAAATGAGAGTCTAAAATATTCCAATAATGTGATGTACATACCTTTGGTGGAGTTGTTGGACGAACTCGATATACTAAAAGGATTACCAGTATGGAGATAACAATTAATCTTGGTCAGCTATTTAAATGGTCACTGAAAGCACATGCTAAAGTAATGAAGTCACTGTTATGACGATGAAAAGGTCATGAAATCGAAGATGTTAATGCCAAAATAAGAGTTGTGCGTGGGGTTGTTCGGCTAAACAAACCTAGTTCAAGTGAGGTAGTACCTGTGTGGACAACCAGGGTCAATGATGACATAGTAAAAGCTCCAATCGATCCAGAGTCATGTATCAACCTGATGTTGAGAAGATATGCCAAAAAAAGGTGACTGATCTGGAATCACGTTGGTGGAAAAGAAAGAATGGCTAACAACAGAGTCAGTCAATTTGTTGGATATATACTTAATGTAGAAATTGAGATGGAAGGTGTCATGGTGATGACCAACCCCCTTGTATTGATATTGCTAGGGTTAGGTACGATCACGGGTCACCCGATCAGGACTGGGATTTCGTGGTGCCGGATTAGGATCAGGGTACATAATTGGGCATGATTCGGATCTGCATGAATTGCGTGATCGTCAAATTAGTAGATGCATAAAAGTAATTTAAAATCTAATTGTAGAATTGCATAATGCGTGTAACCCGGGTAATAATATATCCGGAGATAATCTTGTATTTAAATTTAGCG